CTGTGCCTGGGAACCCTGGCCTTTAGCCTGGTCCAGTGTGTTTGAGTGCCAAACAAAAGGAACTCCTTTTTCTCATCCAAAGACTCTCAACTGAATCTACAAATTCATGTCTATTTCTCAAAACAGAAATTAGTTTCCTTAAAAAAAACAGTGAGTATAAGGACATGAATTAAAGACAATTGTGTATAGAAACATGTGACTACCAGAGCAACACCCCCAGATACCAGTGCTCTTTCTGAGGCTCTTCCTTCATGGGCTGGAATTTCCTGTCCATAGTGGTATGCACAGATACGTTTTGCTGAAGTAATATGGATTCTATTTCAAGCAGAAGATACATATTTGCGAATGTGAGTCCTCTGAGAACAGAGACCACCAACAGCCCAAAAGTTAAGATAAGGCTGTTGGTGCTTTCAGCCTCTGTCCCAAACCAATAATCCAAACTTCAGACCATCAGACCAACACTTTCTTGTAGACAACAGATCATTCAGTTGGTCAAACCAGCCATCTAGAAAGAATTGGAATTCTTCAAGATTTCTGCCAAGACTGTCAGTGGGGTGCTATAATTCCGAACACTTTTAAAAATACCATTTCTAAGACTCAGTTTTATTTATCTTTTAAAGGTGATGAATATATATGCTTAACAGTTTGAAAGGCACAAAAAGGAGAAACAAATTCACATATAATGGTGACAACATTGTCACCATTTATTTTCCCTCTTCTCAGAAATCAATCGAGTCAAGAAGGAAAGAATGTAGGAAACAATGGTAAGGTCCCTCTGAGTAATGGGTAGCTGAAGTGTTGAGTTCAAGGGGACAGAACGTAGCAAGAGGTACAGGGAGTCGCCGTCCCCAGAGTGGTACCCACTTCCTGTCGAAGGCTGGCGCCTGTTACCCTGTTCCTGGACAGTCCAGACTCCCGCGGCAAGAGTCTTGCCAATCTCAACCAGATCTCAACCTCAGCCACAATTGAAGTAAACCTTAAGTCTGAATAAATTTCCACCCTGACCTATGCCTTCCTACAGATTATGAAGTGTGTTTTAACAGGTGATCTCCCTTCCAGGAGGAAACACTAAAATTAACTTTGATCCATCATCAGGTTTTTCAGACGAACTTCTTGGCAAGTATCCACATAAAGGCAGATGAGAAAACTGAAGGCGAGGTAAGTGAATTGTCCTGGCCTTACAGGCCCAGAGCCCGGCCAGCCCAGGGTCCTGGGTTCGAGTGGAGAATCCTGGATGCTCCAAGTTCTATTTCCACAAATGAATAAGGGGATCGAGAATTCACGGATGAAATACAAGCTTACACAGATCTCTTACCTTGGGAATTTGCTTTATTTTATTTTCCCAAATACTTGCCGGCTTTTGGAAGTCATCTTTAAGACGGTAATATTTCATATTGCATTTAAGATTCACGGAGCTTACCTTTATCTGCATCCAAATTAGGATAAATGCCAACCTAGATGTATCTGCCAAAGTGACACAGTCAGGCCTCTTTGTCTGCTTCCCTGGACTTCTCTCACTCATCTCTCTGGTGAGGAATATGATAAGAGACAACTAAAGAGCTTTTGGAAAAAAATAAATCTTAGGGAAGTCTAGAGACAGAGCACTAAAGCCAGGCTCCCGAGACCCCCTTCCTGGTTCCCACACAGAGTCATCCAGGAGAAGATGGATTTTGCATCTGCCCACATCCAGCCCTTTGCTTCTCGCAGTCTTCTGCAAAGTCCACATGGTCTCAGAGAGGGTGTTTTTGACCCAGGTTCCCTGGCAGGGAACCTAGGGAAGGAAAGTTTAGGGTTCGAAGAAGGGTCTCTCTGAGTGATAAAGCAGACACAGAGGGCAAGAAGAGTGTTACTTATGTCCCCATTTTGTGGCAGTTATTTGAATCAAAGGCCTTGGGGCTACCATAAAACTTTCGTTCAACCTTTTCTTTTCTTCTTCTTTTTTTTTGGTACCGGAGATTGAACTCATGATCTTGCACTCATCTTTTATTTTCTCCCTTTCTTTGTCTTTTCAGTTGCTGCTGTTCCCTGGAACACAGCATGAGAGGTGCACACTTCGAGGTTATAACATTAAATAAATCAGCCAAACGCACGAGCTCAAGTATTGCATAACTTCTCTTACAGGAGAAACCCGAAGTATAAATAATTTAAAAAGCAAAAGATGAGATGGATGATAAGAAGCAGATCTTTTGCAAATGAGAAGGGACCTAGAGGGGGAAGAAGAGATTAAAGAAAAATGTGCAGGGACCCATAGACACGGATCCCATCAGTTCTTGATCATGAGCCAATAAACTACATTAGAATGAGGGTGGGCATCATTCATCATTAACGTCACTAGTAGCCTCACATTATTAGTAAGCTTGTTATTGGAGTTAGAGAAGAGTATCCCCAAGAAATACCTCTCGCACTTGTCCTTAATGTACAAAGAGATTAATCTAGGAATTTAGGTTTTGCTTTTCAAATTGTAATCTTTTTTTAATGCTAAGGCTGGAGCCCAGGGCCTTGCACTTGACAGCCACGTGTTCTGCCTCTGAGCAAGCTCCTTTGCCCAAATTACCCTTTTGCTGAAGTAACAGCTAAGGTTTCATAGTTTGCTGGGCTCTAGCAAAACATGACTGGCCTGTAACTCACACAAGGGTTTGGAAGTTTGAGAGAGTCTATATTCTCTGAGAGTTTTCAATTTCTTCTCCTATACATCATAAATTCTTATTTCGAAAGGTCCACTAATCTTCTCTATACTAAAATTGACAATTAAAACTTTCCCTCACCAAGTCATTTTCACACTATTGTGTATGCAGATGGACAAAATTTTGAGAAAATATTGTCTTGTCTCGCCTGTCAAACTCATTCAGTTTCACTACCCTGTGCACCTACAAAGCCACACGGCCTCGTCAGGCTGAGCTGAATCTGTCAGAGAAGGTGTGACTTTATTTTTCCAGTTTAAATGACCTGTGAACACATGCCCTGAGACAACCAAGTGATTTTGAAAGCTTCATTCTCAGATAGATGAACCCCTGGAAGGAGGTTTTCCAAATAAAATTGTCACCCAGATAGATAATGAGATGGCACCCAATGGGACCCTCCACCTGGAGAAAGTCATGTGGGAATTGTCCCTTTGTTTGGGTGGACAGAGGATTGTACAGCCTGGATCAACCACACCACAGATGCTGGACAGTTTAGTTTGTCTCTTCTCTTGTAAACCAAGGGAGCAGACCTCGGTTATTTAAAAAGCACACAGGGTGGAGAGGGCGGGGTAACTTTCTTACAAGACTCTATGCTGACTCCATTCTGGAAACTCCCTTGGTCCCCTGAGCAGAGCACATTTGTGGGGTGGCAGCTGTCCTGGGAAGGTGAGGGTGTGAGCTTGATTGCTGTTCTCAGTCGGGCAGAGTTTTACAGTTCCTTGGGAATGGTTTCCGGTTGGAGGGGTATTCCTTGTCCTATTGGGCTGAGCAATCTTTTTCTGTAGGACCCCACCATGAACTGGTCCAAATAGACATTGAAAGGGTTTTGGCCCAGACAGGACACTGTAGCCGGCAAAGCCAAGGCGTTCTATCTCCCCACCTCTAGGAATTTACCTATGGTGCCAAACAAAGACCAATGGGCTACCTGTGCATCCCTAATGCTCCCTTAGGTTCCACCCCAAACCAAGGCTACTTATGTGCCTCACTCCACATGTTCCACGGAGAGATCGCTGACCCCGGGGTGGAGATGCCACACCCCAGGGGGTCGGGGGTATCTCTCCCAGCATTCTCAAAATAAAGATCATTTATATTTCATATTTCTTATCTTTTCAGCCGCTGCCGGTCTCCCACAGTTCTATCAGACATGGCTTAAGCCGCAATTCTGGAGCCTGTGAAGTGTTCCAGGCCAGCTGTGTGCTGTGGTCACCACAGCACAGATGAACCAGCCAGTGAGAGCAAACCCATCTTGGGATTCCTCATCATATTTTGTAATGATGCTACTCAAGGCCCAAATTATTTAATCACATTTCAGAAATGCTGCTCCAATATCTGTGCAGCTCTAGGCATGAACAGCCAATGTAGCGAGCCAATACATGGGACACTGCCTTCCTTAGGTACGATGTTTTTGTGCAGACATATTTTAGGTAGAATCAAAATGTAAAAATAGTTTCTTATGTCACATTCATTTGGCTTTACTTTCTCATTACAGTTTTCCAAGTTATAGTAAAATACTATCTAGGAAAATGCTTTTGTGACCATGTCGGTAAGGAATCTAGTAGAAGACAGTCAAACTCCTTCCACTTAACACAAGTGTGGAGAGTGCTTCCAAGCCAGCAGAGGTCCACTTGTGCTTGGGCATCTCCCTCCTGACACATCAACTTAATGATGCAGTAGTAAATGTTATTCCAAAGGCTCATGATTTTTACACTGATCAGGTTACTTATATGTTCTTATATGGGGAGTTTTTAATGGCACACAGGCTTACACTCATAAATGAGTAGTTTAATTTTCCTTACCGATACTTCAAGATATATTTCAGAAAGAAGTCTGACAATTATATTTTCATAAATGTTCTAAAATAGGCATGCTTTCATTTCAGTTCTAATGATTTTTCATAAACATTTTAATAGCTTGATAAATCCCGATTACTTTAAAAAATAATTGACTTTAAAATGATCACTTTCAGTCTTACCATCACGGTTATGATTATGTTTTTTCCTTTGGATATCACTGCAGATATAAAGTATAAGAATAAAGTATAAGAATAACAGTAAAGTGTTTTTATCTTTGACAAACATGTATGCCTATAATTTATGCTAAAATACCTGAAAGGAAAGAAATGGCCTATTGTGCTAGTGTATTACTTTTCAAGAAGGGTGTTAGCAATGTCTTTAATATCATTATAAATGGAGAGGTACTCAAAGCTGCTTTCTAGCATAAAGCACATGTTGATGCCTAGAGAATCAGCTCATTGAAAACAGCCTTTTGTTTAGGATAAGCTACTGTGCCTAGGTGAATGTCAGTGCTTACTGTTATTACCTCAAGATTTTAGTGACTGCCGTCTCCTTTTCCAGAAGGTTCCTGGCCCTGATGCTGAACACAGACTTGCGAAGCTGAAAGCATAAAAAGACTGATTTTAGTTGTGGAATGTCACAGAACAATTCACCAACAGGTCACTAAATAGATGGCACTACTAAAACATTAACCATAAATGCCTCTTACCAAAGCACCCTCACATAACTCCACTATTGTTTTTGTTTCTGCTTTTGTTTGAAAGGGGCTGCAAATGAACCTGTGCAGCTGCATGTCACAGCTCTGGGAGGCAGAGAGTCTGCATTGCTGGTTATGACCTTGGCCTTCACCTAAACAGGCTTTTCAGTTTCCTAAGTACTTGATGCAGAGACCAGCATTGGACTCCTTGTGCATCTTTGTTTAGTAACACGTACTGGTGGTTCTTGGCGTGGGATCCAATGCTAATCTGAACACGAGGTCAGAGGGCCATCTGTCTGCAGGCATGGAGTCAGAGGATGGGCATGTAAGGGGGACTGCAGAGGAACTGTTCCAGGGAAGGGGTTAAAGCAAATCCTGGAAGCCCAGTGTAGACTGGGAGTCACACTCCCCAGATTCAGCTCTGTGTTGCTTGCCAGTCACAGAAGATTAGAGTAATGACAGGTGTAGAAGGAGCAAAAGTGGCTGGTAAAAGGAGACAAGAGAGAAAATACTAACCATGCACTATCAGGGGTACGTTCCTAAGAAAGAACTGCTAGAAAATGTGACTCCAAGATACAGACCAGAGCTACTAATGGCAGAATACTTGTTCCCTGTCACCAGTAGACTGTACTAGTTTTACTGATCACTTAGCATGACAATAACCAATGCAGATAAAGAATAACTAGGAATCAAAGTCCTTGGATTCTAGAATCAAGTGGCTTAGTGAGGTAGGACACACGATGTCACCAGTGCAAAGGACAACACAGCAGATGTACAAGTACTGGGCAGTGAGTGAGCAGGGAAGATGAGGGGGGAGAACTGATGTCTGGGAGGGACAGTGGGGAGTCTGCTGAGGAAGTGGAAGTTGTGTGGGCCTTGAAAGAGAAAGGCGACTCCATCGCAATGGTGGCCATGGGTGAAGTTGGAAATGTGTGCCAAGAGCAAATGAGTTTGGGGGAAACTCTCAGTGTAAGTGTCATGGTGCCTGGGCTTCAAAGCAAAGCAATCAGAGGCAACACTGTAAGGTGTGACGCATTCCAAACAAAGTGGAGGGAAGAAAAGGAAGCAGGAGACAGAAAACTACAAGGAAAAACAAACCATTAGCTATTTTTTTTCTTCCAAGAAGGGTTAGGCAGGTTGAGACACCAAGCCATAGCCCTAATCTGAAAACACAGTTATGGCATCGGCCAATAGGTGCCATGGCCATTGCTGGAAAAGAACCCAAATCACGAACTGGCCTTTTCAATCACAACTGGCAATCCTGAGGAACACTGTAATTTGCAATGTAATTTTCCTATTTCCCAGGAGGCCGGTAAGGAAGGGAAGAATCACTGAACTCAGTGGTAATTTCCCCTTCATCAGGAAAGCTAGCCTACTTGCTTTACTTATTTAGTTTTTTCATAGTGAAAACTGAATTTCATGATTTGCTAAGACTCCTAGGATAGTAAATTAATGTATAGATAGGCAGACAAGAGAGGGTGTCCTTTATTTAGAAGTTATGCTTTATTGGTAGTACATGAAAGGCTACCATATCTTCTCCCCTCCCCAGAGATGTGATTTGGGGCACTGACCAAATCTCCTGAGCTGGTCGCATGTCTCCCAAGGGATGTTACAGATTCTGGGGACAAAAGACACCGCTGAAGGACCCTGGCTTTGTGGAGCATCTTCTTTGGTGACATTTCCGGACACAGCAGTCAGGAGACAGAGCCAGGTTACAGGGACTAAAGATTTGGTCTTAGCTCAAAGAGGCAGACAGTGAAGGCCACAGCCACCTGTCACCTATGGAGGTGGCAGCCTGAATGCAGTCACCTGCCTTCCGTCCCTGCAGTGGAGTGGCCAGCACGTGACACATTTTCATGTTAGGAAAAGCCTTTGGGATGATACCCAGGGCAGTGTTTCCTCAAATGATTTCTGCCTTGTGAAAAGTAGCTAAAAGGCTACAGAATCTTCTTTGTCCAGAGCTTAAAATGGTTAATGCAGATTGCAGTGCTAAGTTTACAGAGGAGCATTTGAAACCTGGTGTTGCAACTAACAGCAAAAGTAGAGGAAGAAAACCTTGGGTAATAGATAAAGAATTTAGATTCAGCTTTGGCATGTTTTTGCAAGAAGAAAGAAAGAATATGTATATATATGCATACATGTGAAAATAATATGTGTCAATCGTGACATATAGTTTATAAATATAAATAGGTATTTTAAAGTACATATTTGACACATAAAGATTTGTTATGCCAGATATAGTACCTACTTATCTAATTATATATTTTAGTTATTCTTTTTCTCAGTAAGGTCTACAGTGATTGGTGGTTATGTAGCTATCCCTTCAGTTCTTAGTAAAACGGCACATTTTTAAAAATTTTATTTTTAAGAGGGTAAAATTAAACACAAAACAGAACAAAACAGTTCAGAAGAAAAAACAATGTAAGAGACACAGATCTCAAAGCAAGACACCAGGAGCTCTTCACTGTCTATCATGTTGTTTCTTGTTTTCTTCCAAATAGCTGTCCATATCTTCACACACAATGAATTCACACAAAACAAAATAGTATTAAACTGATCAAAACAGGATGATGAAGGCATTTTACATCTTCAAAATCAGACAATAGGGAAGTCAACAATGGCTGCCATAATGTCTCTCGTTCTCTTCAAAATAGTTGTTCATACTTTCATGTATGTTGAAATTAAACAGTACAAAACAGACTAAAATTACTCTGAATAAAGCATAATAGTTTTGCTGGATTTCACAGCATGATGCTACAGAATCAGCACTGGGCACCTTAGTGTCTCTTGTTCTTCAAAATAGCTGTTCATTTCATCATGCATTACATAATTGATTCTCATAAACTGTTTAGGAGAAGTTCTATACATGTATGAGTCTCTACATGTATACCTATCCTTTCTGTGTTAGAGGGAAAAACAAAGCAAAACAAAACAAATTCCTAGAAAAACATGAAACAAAAAAGACAAATAAATAACAGTAGCAAAGAGCCCAACACACTGACAATACAGGCCTTCAAAACAAGGTGGTAGAAGCATAACTAGGGTTGTTATTTTACATAATGATCTCCAAGAGTTCCTCAGATCACCATACAATAATAGGCAAAATTGTTCCAATCCTATGAATGTTAACTACTTTGTTCCAAGAACTTATAGAATTTGTAGCACAATCATCTTAGATATCCTAAGTGTGTTTATATAATTTTGGATATTTTTTTCTTTTTTCTTTTTCTTTTTTCTCATTTTCCCTGAGATACTAGTTTTAATCAAATAACGTTCTTAACTAGTTACAAAGAGCCGAACTCCGAGCTATGCTGTTTTACCGCGCCCTCTTCTGGTCCTAGAAAATACTGACAATAACCTGAAGTGAACACACAGATCTGTCTCATGGTAAGTAATTTTTATATCTGAAATTCTACATTGTGTTATGAAAGTCAGTAATAGCTCATTCTGTATCTAAACACATCAGAGACACAGGACTTTAAAAGATGGACAAAGGAGACATATTAATATAGATTTGGCATTGAAGAACAAAGGCAGATTAGTTGGAAAATGTATTTTTTTATGTGCTTTACTTTGTAAATCCAAAATATTCAGCTCCACAAGGTGACAGTTCCTTGATTGAATTACTGGTAGAAATATAACTAAATTAATTTTTGTTAACACAAAATCAATGTCTTAAAAATGTTAAAATTTTAATTTAAAAGACATTTCCTGAATAATGCCTTTAACACAGACTCCAGGATCCTGGAAGTCCAACTCATTCCTCTTAGTTTTTCGTGCTTGAATAATCTGGACTGGGAAGACACACAATGGGTGGCTGTCAATGACTTCTTGGCAATGTCTTCTAAGTCAAAGCCTGGGGCATTTCACCTGGGGTTTCCAGGAGTCTGGATTTTGTGGAGAGCACATCCTGGAGTGACTCAGTGTCTCCTTCTGTTCTGCACCATTCCTGCAGACTGGAGCTGGATTTGGAGACTCCCTCAGGAGACTTGGGCTGACGCCTTTGGGAGACACAGGTGGGGTCCTGTTCTTTCACCAGCAGAAGCCTGCTACCTACGGCTGTCTTTGTGATATTAGTAGCATTGATGTTCATTCCAAAGATCCATGAATACACTCAGTTGGCAAAATAGTCATTTCCTTTTTATGTACTAGTTGGAGTACTTTTTTACATGAGGTTCTTTATCTCTTGTATTATCTGGCTGCCCCATAGGAAAAAAACAAGGTAAGTGCTTGATTCCTGACCTTTACTTTGTAGTTTTTATGTAGCTAATTGATTTTCAGTCATCTTCCTGATGACTCATTACTATTTTTAAAATATCATGTTGAACTCAAGGTTTAGACATAGTTGATGGATTCAGTTATTGCAGTTGCTATCTTTATTTTTGGTCACATGATCTCAGTGCTTCTGGCGAGCTCTTCAAGGAGGCTCACTGGTGCCTCTGATAGGACCTCACAGGGCGCTGAGGTTCTTGGAGGTCAGGATACTTTCTATCCAAATCCCTTACCTCCACCAAGCAGCTCTGGTTTATTTACTGGGAAGTGATCTTTCAGTAGCACAACCCAGATTCCAGCAGTGCTCTTGGCCACTGAGCTGCTCACTCTCTCCAGGACTTTGACTAAAGTTGATTCTGATCGTTTCAGTTTAAAGTTAACAGAAGGATTTTACCTAAACTCTTCTGTGTGCCATGTATACCAAGGGTGCAAGGGATGACAGAATTAGCTTGCCTCATAATTGCTCACTGGTTGTATTTCATATTTTATAGACAATAGTCTCAGAATAACAGTAACGAACACAATCCAGACGGTGAGTATTTAAAAGTGCTCACATATATCCCTTCCGGTTTCCTCATTTACACATTGTGCTCCCCTGTATTATAGAGCAAGGAGCGCTGACACATCCGAC